CACTCTTTCTCATCACCTATAAAAATGACATATTCCTGTTCCAAAAGACCTCATATGAAATAAGTACACCTCATGCATTACAGTGCAAATGGCTGATGTGTCAGTGTTTTTAACTGCGACATATCAATGCAGTAGCATGTATAAAACAACACAAATGCCTCTTGGTGTTTTAGGGGAAAGGCGAATCTTACAGAGGCCATCACATGTACTCAGAAGCAAGCCCAGTTCTATTTCAGGCAGCAGCAGAACTAACGACTGATTCATCTTCACTCAGAAAGTTGTAAGAATGAGTGAAGTGGGAGAAGAGGGTGCTGGCAGAGATTAGTTCTAGTGTCACCTTTTTTCCAAGACATCAATATTCTCATTGGAGGGTGCATGATAGTTAACTGAGTAACTATTGCCATAATAATATGTCTAATAAAAAATGTACTTATTTTGAAATAAATGTTTAACCTTTCATTATTTACATAAATATATTCTTCCCTATCCCTTATGTGGACTATTCTGTAATTTATCGTTATTCTGCCCTTCTATTTTTCAAGGTATATGTATATCTAGGAATGCTATTTCATTAGAATATTAAGTATTTACATTTTATCTCAGAAGACAGCAAGAACAGCTGAGCCTAAGCAAAATTAACAAGATGTATTTATAACATTAAATCACTACCTAGTGTAGCCACTTTCTGAATAATATCCAAGTCCTTTTTTTTACTCTAGAAACTATTTATTGCAAATTCTCAAATGGTTTTTGATTAAACAAAACTGCATTTTTCAGTGAATAAAATATTTTTCTGAAAAATGTCACCTAGTTGTAATAGCCGCTGTGTGTCTAAGTCTTTAACTGAAGTAAGCAATCATGGAATGCACTGCTAGCTGCATTATGTATCTAATGAAGACGGAGGAAGAAACACAGAACGGGGGAAAAAGCATTTCAGTTACGCAATTTGCTTTACTTAAATATTTCAGTTTAAAAATATATTTTTCAGGTAAGGAAAGGAATGGTTAATATTCCAATTAATGGTACAGTTAACACAACCAGGATATATCTGTAATACAAATAATAGTATATAGAAAAAAACAGACGAACATATAAATAAAAAAGATCCCAACTGCTTAGTTTCTTTAAGCCAAGCACCTGAAAACTAACACTAGATTTGAAGATGTTACCTCAGCAACAACCAGCTGCAACTTATTATTTTCACTGTGAAATCTACTGATGTAGAGTAATTGAATGGAATCTCTTGAACTGTCAGCTCATCTTGAAGTATTTTGGGAATACTTGCAGTGAGGCAGCAGAATATAGGGAAGGAATACCTATGGCTTAAAAATTCATCTTTATCTATAAGTCTTTCTGACTTTCATTATACAACATAGAGTAATTAAAAGTGAATCGGAGTGGCTTAGAGAACTGGAAATAGCTTTTTTTTCCCTTCATTTTTTCTTAGTTGACATGCTACATATCTGGAAGGCAGGCAATCATTTTTATAACAAGATTGGAATTCTCCACAATTCACACTTCTCAATTTTAGTCTCAGAACATTTAATTTCCACTGATTTGTTTTTTACAGTTCTTCATTCTATAGCCAGACAATGAAAGATAGTCTCCAAAGAAACTATTCTTTATCCATTTTGAGAAGTCGGCTTTCTTGTAATTTCTCATTTTGGGAAAAAAATAGTTTGTCAGTAGAGTAATTTGAATTACTGCCCTGGACCGCAAGAGGAGGGCACCTTCCTGGGCTAGTGAGGACATCGTGGACCTCGTCCACGATCTCCGCACTAGGCACAGGAAAGTGGCCGTCTAGGGCAGGAGAGCTGCCAGCCTGGCCACCCAGGACCAGGTGTGCATGAAAATCAAGGGGGTCCACTGAGACCCCCGACACTGAGCCCTGAGCTTACAATGGCCGTCCTGGGTCAGACCAAAGGTCCATCTAGCCCAGTAGCCTGTCTGCCGACAGAGGCCAACCCTAGGGACCCCGGAGGGGATGGACTGAAGACAGTGACCAATCCATTTGTCTCGTGCCATCCCTCTCCAGCCTTCCACAAACTTTGGGCAGGGACACCACTCCTACCCTCTGGCTAATAGGACTCCATGGACCCAACCTCCATGACTTGATCTCACTTCCCTTTAAACTCTGTTCTAGTTGTAGCCTTCACAGCCTCCTGCAGCAAGGAGTTCCACAGGTTGACTCTTTGCTTTGTGAAGAAGAACTTTCTGTTACTAGTTTGAAGCCTGCTACCCATTCCTTTCCTTTGGTGTCCTCTAGTCCTTCTTTATGGGAACTCAGGAAGAACTTTTCTGAATGCACCCTCTCCACCCAACCCCTGCTTTTAGAGACCTCTATCCTGTCCCCTCTCCGTCTCCTCTTTTCTAAGCTGAACAGTCCCAGTCTCTGTAGCCTTTCTTCATCTGGGACCTGTTCCCAACCCCTGATCATGTTAGTTGCCCTCCCCTCTCCCAGCCTTTCTCTTCCCCTCTCCCACCTCCTTTTCCCAGTCTCCCCCAGTTTTGTTCAATAAAGACAGAGTCAATGTTGGAAGAAACGTTATCTTTATTTTGTACATCAATAAGAAGGGGGGCTAGGGAAGGGTAAGTGGAAGGAGGTGAGGGAGGAATGGGGTACGAGCCCCTGATGGGGAGGACTGGGCTGGCTCTGCGGGCTTCTGGGGGTGGAAGCTCTCCTGCAGCCCCCCAATTGTCCCCTCTCCCCAGATGGCAGCCTGCGGCAAGTGCAGCTGGGCTGATGGCCGAGTGGTGTGATGTGCCCATTGTGGGCACTCAGGGCACTCCAAGCCAGGACTGCTTTGCAAGCGGGGCACCCCTGAGAACTGTCTGTCCGGGGTGGGGGTCGGGTCCCTTTAAGCACAGCCCTCGGCTAGCCTGAGACAGCATCTCCACGCTCTAAGTCCTCCTCTGATGCCCTGCCGGCACTGCTTCCGGCCATCCTTAACCTCTGTTCAGGGTCCACTTAATTAGCAAAACGCTAATTCAAACTAGTTTTTAGTTCTAAGTTCAACTAAGTTAGTTTGAATTAACGTTGTAGTGTAGACATACCCAGAGTGTGTAAGTAAGGGCTGGGGATAGCAAGTGATGGACAGGAGGAGAATAGAGAGGGCGGGGCTTCAAGAAATGGGCGGGGCAGTAGCTCTTCGCCTGCTCGGAGATTTAAAAAGTGATCTTGGGTGTAAAAAGGTTGGAGACCCCTGCCCTAGGGGAAGATGCAGCCAGTGACAGTCAGATCACACCTGGGGCCCTGGAAGCAGGTCAGTGGAGGGGCGGGGCTGCCCAGAGTTACTGGGCTCTGAGTTTAGTTTTTCTGCTGGCTTGGGGAGAGGGGATCCTAGCTGGCCTGGGGGGCAGTCAGGGGCCCTGCAGCGGCTGCTCCCGGCCTGTACCAACCATTCTGTGCTACATTGTGTCCCTGGGAGCCAGTAGACTTTCTCTTCTACCTGCCGCCTGAGAGTCCTGGAGGCAGGGCCTGGTGGCTCCCCCGTGCCTCATGACCAGCAGGCTCTCCCTTCAACTTCCCCCACTACTTGTAGAAGCAGGACGAGCGGCAGCGACGGGAGCGCCCCTTTGGGTTCCAATGAGCATGTCTTCACTAGACCGCGGCTGCTTTTCCTTTTCCTCAACTGCAGTGTAGCGGCGACTAACCCAAATGTACCTAAAGCAAAAGACAGGACCATGCAGCACTGTAAAGACTAACCAGATGGTTTATTAGGTGATGGGCTTTCGTAGGCCAGACCCACTTCCTCAGATCAAATAGTGGCAGAAAATCGGCACGACCATGTATACCAAAGGGTACAATCAAACCCTGAACACACGTGAAAGGACAAATCCCATTTCCGAGCAGAAGGGGGATGGGGGGAGGTGAATGTCTGGGAGCTACTGATGTTAGAGGTGATAACTGGGGAAGCGATCTTTGTAACGGGTAACGGGTAACGTACCTAGTGCCCTGAGCTTCCTTCCTCAGACAGCTCAGCTCGGCTCCCCAGTTACCCCCACAAGGGGATAGAGATGCAGCCGTGTGAGGCTGGTGTAGCTGACACAAAAGCCAGGGCTGTGGAGCACTAGAAAGACTAGAAACCATCTTGTTAGTCGTCATAGTGCTCCGTAGCCCTGCTTTGTTTCAGCCCACAAGGTGAGTGACACAGGAGAGAAGCAGCAGGGAGCTGAGGAGTGTGGTAACAAAGCAATAAGCAAAAGAGGGTTTTGCAACCCCAGCTCTGGGGTCCTGCACCTTGGGGCCCCGCCGCCCAGGCCCCTGACATCCTGGGAGCCACCTTTGACGCAGCTTCTCTTTACAGCTTTGGAACAATTATTTCCACCTGGCAGTTGCCTTCCTCACCCAGGATTCCCTGCAGCTGGAGAACTTCTCCCAGGCCAAGCGCACCGCCATCCTAGCCAAGTGAGCCGCCTGCCTGTCTCCCCGGGGGCTCTGAGAGGCCCACCTTCCCAGTCTGCCCTTACTGACGCCCCTCTGGCCAGGCAGAACAAGACTCCTTCCCCTCTCCTTTTCCCACCAGGTATGGAGACATGAGAGCCACCATCGGCGCTGCCATCCGGGACATGTGGTACAAGCTCGGTGAGGCGGGGCCGGCCCTGTGATGAGCTGTAGCAGGGGCATGAGCGCTGGGTTCGCTCTGGTCTGTGGCCGTACCCAGTAACCCCTGGCAAGGCGCTGTCCTGCGCAGGGACTGGCCTTCCCTTGGCCGGGGACAAGGAACACATAGCTCGGCTTCCGCCTGGCTCAGTCCCTGCCTGGCCCCTTCGCTCTGTCCTGCGCGCCCGCAGCCGGGCACCTGGGCGAGAGAAAGAGCCTGCGGGGGAGCCTGGAACGGGCTCTGCACCCGTGGAGAGGGCTGGGAGGGGCCTTCCCACCAGGCCCGTTCTGTCTGCCCCAGGCCACCACAAGATCCGTTTTATCCCGGGAATGGTGGGCCCCATCCTGGAGATGACACTGGTGCCCGAGCTGGAGCTGCGCAGATCCACCATCCCCATCTTCTTCGACATGATGCTGTGCGAGTACCAGCTGAAACGGGCTCTGCACCCGTGGAGAGGGCTGGGAGGGGCCTTCCCACCAGGCCCGTTCTGTCTGCCCCAGGCCACCACAAGATCCGTTTTATCCCGGGAATGGTGGGCCCCATCCTGGAGATGACACTGGTGCCCGAGCTGGAGCTGCGCAGATCCACCATCCCCATCTTCTTCGACATGATGCTGTGCGAGTACCAGCTGACCAAGGCCTTTGGCATGGTGAGTGCAGGCCGGCTGGAGCGCGCGGGGCGAG